GGCCTGGAACCCCTGCACAGAGGTAGCCTATGGCAGTTCAATATCCAAGTGGCCTCCATAGTAATAAGGAGGACTGTCTCTGACATGAGCTGATTGGCCTGCTCTTTGATCACCTCCCCCCAAGGGGGAGCAGCCTTACCAGGCCACAGAGGAAGACAATGCAGCCAGTCTTGATGAGATCTGATAGACTAGGATCAGAGGGAACAGGAGGAGGATCTCATTTTTCAGTGGACTGGGAGAGGGACACGGGTGGGGAAGAGGGAGTGTGGGATTGGGAGGGGAGGAGGGAGGGAGGTACAGGGGGGTATAAAGTGAATAAAATGTAGTTAATAAAAATTTAAAAAATCTTAAAAAATAAAACAAAAAAAGCATAGAGGACATCTTGTTGTGGAAGCTGTAGCGTGTCGCACCATGATCCACAGTAGACACTTTTGTCCACACATCTTTACTTGCAAATGCTCAATGCAATGAGTCATTGGTCTGGTTGGAAGCCTCCGGTATCTGCCACACTATCAATACCAGATTCTTGCCGGGCTTCCTTTGTGATATCCTGGTGTTGCTGTGTCATGGAGATGCTGTAGCTTTGGTTCTGCTAAACCAAGTGGCCCTTTCTCATGCTCCAGCAGTTCATAGTGGAGTAGATTTTGGTGCAGGCAAACTCAAAGCCCTGCATCTGGGCCTGGTTGGGAGCTGAGTTGCTCAGCCTGCGAGCTCTAGCACAGGCATATCACCAGCGCAAGCTCTCCAGTACTGCTAGCTCACCCAATGCTGCAGCCAGCACGGGGCAGGCTATCTCTGCTCTCCTCCAGCTCTCCCAGCTGCAGCGGGCGGTGCGGGGCAAAGGGCAAAGCGGCAGAGAGGGCATCACCCCCACTCCCATGCTACCCCATGGCATGAGTGGTGGGGCCAGCTTTCCTGTGCTCATGCCCTCGGGGTGCTCACTCGCATCCATCCCCCACACTGCCCAAGCTAGGTGCACGGACCTGCTTTTCCAAGTGCTGCAGTCTGTGAGAGGTGGGACCAGCTCTTTAGAGCGCCACAGCACTGTGGGCCGTCTCTCCAGTCCTCGGGCATCTATGTGGTCCCAGGCAGCAGCCCAGACCAGCGACGTTCACAGGGTCTTCAGTGGCGGCATGATCCACAGGCATCAACGCAGGCCCCTGCTGCGGCATGGCCATAGACCCAGACCTGGCCATCAACGGCAGCACAGGCTGGGACTTCACTATGGTCTCCCGTGGCAGGGCAGGCTATTCACAACAGTTTATTCCTCTCCACTCTCCATTCTCCAGCTCCACCTTTTTCATAATGCTCAAGCTGTTGTGCTTCTGTCCTCGCACACAGTAGTGGCTCCCTGCTGTGGGCGGACACGCCTCTGGGTATCTTCTGCCTGTTTGTGGTGTGGCTGTGGGCCGGTCTCTGTGTGTCTACAGCCCACCCATGGGGTACGGCAGTGGGCTGGCCTCTGGTTGTCCTCTGCTCACTCCGCATAGCACGACAATCGGGCCTTTAGGTATCCTTCTCCACCCTCACTGTGTGGTATGTCTTCAGGTGTAATTTTTTTAACAGTGATTTAATATTTCAACAAAATGCCCAATCAAAGGTATTTAAAATTATACCTTTTACATTATATGTTTAAAGGTCTTTACATGTTGTCTTAGGGGGAACTGTAGTGTGCAAATTTTTCTGCCACAGCATTGTTCTCCTGTAATAGCACTTTGAAATTATTTGTTATTTCTTTTTATTGGTGATATGTTTCATAAGGACAGTTTCAAGTACATCATGTACTTTGACATATTCACCTTTTCCCCACATTTGTCTCTTCCTTTCCTCTTTTAATTTCCTGCTTTCATCCTACATGTCCATGTATAACAAGATTTATGTATCCATATACAATTCAGGACCCACAAATGTGAAAAAAAATATACAGCATTGGTTGCCGTGTTGAGTCTGCCTTATTTTGATTAATATGAAGATCTTCAGTTCTACTCACTTTCCAGCAAATGATACAATTTTCTAGCATATGGCTGCGTACAACTCCACTGTACCTATAGTCCACATTTTATTTTTGAAATATTTCTTTTTTTTTTCATATATACAGTATATCTTGGTCATATACTCCCTCCCTCAGATTCTGTCTGGACCTCCCCAATACAATACATCTCTTTCCAAAATTCATCTTGCATGTGAATATGATCCAAATAGCTCTGTGCACGTGCACGTGGGTGAGGGGTCATCCATTGGCACATGAGCAACCTACCGGTGACCAGCCCCTCAAAAATAATGACTCCTTTGGTGGGGGTCCATTAATTACTAGTAGACCCTCAGCTGGGGGTGGACGCTGGGAACTCCTCCCCTTTCCATGCTGGAATGTTTGACTGGCTTGGTCTTGTGTGGGTGACCACAGCTGTTTCAGGCTCACGTATGCAACAGTTATGCCTCGTCCAGAAGACAGATGGTCACATTATTAGTTTCCATCCTCTCGCTCTTACATGGCTTGGCCTCCTAGTCCACGATATTCCTCGGACCTTATTAAGGGTTTTGGTACAGATACCTCATTCACAGCTGAGCACTCATAGTCACCTGTTTGCAGCAGTCTGAACAGTGACATCCCTGCTTTAACCACTACCCTCTGTAGCAAGGGCTTGTCTGACCAAGGTTGAGAGCAGCATATATCCATTGGTAACAGGAGATAAGGGGACCTATTCCTCATTTTCTTTATTCATTTGTTGAGGGAGGGAGTGGAGGTTGGATACGACCAAGATACATTTGGATATATTTTCAGTTTGGTACAGCTAACTCATATGGCACTTATATTTTTAGTTTCTCAGGAAATGCCGACCGATTTCCATCATGGTTGGTCCAGTTTACAGTCCCACAAACATCCTCCCAACATGTATTTTTTGTTTTCTTAAGGATATCCATTCTGTCTGGATCAATCTCATTCATTTTAATTTTCATTTCTTTGATGGCTAGTAAGGGTGAACACTTTTTCATATGTTGGGCATTTATAGTTCATCTTTTGAGAATTGTCTGTTTATTTCATAAATTCGTGTATTAGATTGTGTGGGGGCTTTTTTGGTATTCAGTTGGTTATTTTTAGTTATTTAAATAGTATAGTTATCAATCTTCTACCATCCAACAGCCTTTTGATTCAAAACAAATGCCCTGCACAAATAGGAAAGACAAGACATATGTTTTTAAACACAGAGTTTGTTTGGCAGATATGATGGATATGGACCTGTTGAGAGAATATGGTGAAAAAGAGAGAGGGATGGGAGAAAGTGGTGGTGCAAAGAGGAAGAAAGGGGAAAAATGAAAAAGAATGAAAGTAAGAAAGAATATCAAAGTGAAACAAAGCTAAAAAAAGATATTGTTAATTCATGACTTGCTTTGTACATAGTATCTCTGAATGTTCTTGAATGATGATTTCCAGAGACCATGTATTTTAATTTTGTGAAATATCAAGTACTGGAAGAGTTTAAAATATTTATTCTACTTGAAATTAAAGTTAATAAAAACTAAAGACAAGAAGAATGATGTAAGGTAGGGAAGAATTTAATTCCATTAATATCTTTAAATTATTTATTGGACTTCACAATGAAACTATTATGGTACTAGGAAATGATCCAAAAGGCAAAGCAATGGTCCTGAAAATATGTTCAAAGTTCTGTTTGACAGGCTGTGCAGACTGCTCAGTAGAAAAATGTTGGTTGCACAAGCATACAGATCTTCACTTGGGTCCTCAGCACCCACATAAAAGCCATATGTGGCAAAGCCTAGCTGCAGCTGCTGCACTGGGCAGAGGCAGGTGTTGTCCAGGGACTCCCTGGCCAGCATCTAGCTAAAACCACAAGTTCCTGATAAATGTCTCAAAAGATAAAATGGAAAGTGATGGAAGAAAACACTATTGTTCACCTCTGACTTTCACAGAGAGTGTATAGGAACATCATACACAAACACTGTATGTGTATATGTGTGTATATTTGTACTAACATGTGAATAGAAAATTAAACTATGAAACAGATTCCATGTTGGGCCTGGAGAGATGGCTCAGCATTTAAGAACACTGGCTGTTCTTCCAGAGGACCCGTGTTCAATTCCCAGCACCCACAATGACAGCTCACAACTGTCTGTAACTTCTATTCCAAAGGATCTGGCACCCTCACACAGACATGCAGGCCGAACACCAATACATGTAAAAAATAAATAAATCTTAGAAAAGGAAAAAGATCCCATCTCATCACTGACATAAAAATGAACTTTTGAAATACCAAGACCATGTTTGTCTTGCAGTGTTTTATTTTGGAGATAGGGTGGAGCAGGGTCTCCTGTACCCTATGTTGGCCTTGAAATCACTATGTAGCTAAGGATAACCTTGGATTTCTGACCCTCCTACTTCTATTTTCCAAGTAGTGGGATTATAGATGTGTGTCCTCACATTCAGTTTATTCAGTGCCAGGATTAATCTCATGTTTTTGTACATGCTAACTAAGAGTGCTATCAAATGAGCTCCAATACCAATTTCATCTTTTCAGATTTTTTTTTATTAAATTTTATTTTGTATGCTTTAAGTAAAGCTAGCCTTGTTCTCTTTCAATTTCCATTTTCATGGAATATCTTTCACCACATGTTCTTTTATGTCTTTAAAGAAGAAATGAGCTTCTTGTCAAGAACATATAGCTGGGGTTGATTTTAAATCCATTCAATGCCCTTTTTTTTTCTTTATTAAAATACTGAGTTTATTTCACATTTATTTGTCTCCCACATCTGACTACCACTTTTACTATGTCCTATCACAACATTCCATACATACTTAAAGCCAAGTAAAGGGTGGAGTTCCATCCTTGAAAACTAAACAGGCATTTTAGACAACACATTCTTGGCAATTGAACCTAGACAACGTTTACCAAACACAGAAGGGAAGTTTCTCACTTTGTATTATAAAAAGAACAGCTATCAACTGTTACAGAAATAAAGTAAGATGAAATATTTCAAACTGTTTAAACCATTTTCTTAAAAAGACTTCTCCACTGCCAGAGGTCTTGAATAGTCTCCTGGTCAGTCATCCGGAAGGAAGCAATTCTTCACATGATTGATGAACTTGACTTCCACTTTGGGAAAAGAAACACCCTTTTTCTATACTTGCTTGCTTGCTTGCCTTCTATAGAACTAGGTCCTTTCTGTGTTTTAGGAGTTTTTTTTTTTTTCCTGTTTTTTGAAGGACTCTTGACCCTTTGATCTTGATATTGATGGTTTTAAGTCTTTTTCACTTTGGTTTTATTTTTGTTCATTTTTGCTGGTGTATCTCATACAGATTGCTTCACTGGAACTTTTTCTTTAGCTTCCTCATCATCAAAATCATCATCAGCTTCAGCACCATCCTCATCATCTTCATGAAGTTTTACTTTTTCCTGTGGAACCTGGTTACCACCTCGGGGGACTGATCGTTTTCCACACAAAAAGAGTTTTACATCCTCCTCATACTCATGTTCTGACTCTGCATCTTCCTCTATGGCTACTCGTGTGCACAGGTCGGGATCCACACTTCAACCGTAGGACCACAGGTGGTGGAGTCCCAAAGCCCCCAAAGGAAACTGTACAGACATTTTCAGAGTTGCCAGTGTTGCTTTCATTGGACTGCCTTTATTGTCCATTGCTCCTGTCTCTACAATGTGTAATTTGTTTTTTACCCCTGCCCTTAAACTGACCATTCTTAATGATAGCTGGTGTTCATATTCATTATTATCCACTTTAAAGTGATAAAGTATCTTTGGCGGCCTTTAGTTTACAACCAAAAAGGCAGTTCTGAGGCTTAAGAGAGCTCAGGTCCATGGTCATCAGGTCTTCTGTGAGGCAGAGGTGCACATTTCTTGTGTCAGAGAAGTCCGACAGAGAAAACTACTTACTGCTCCTAAGAACAGACACACAGGACAGAATCACACCAAGGCCATTCCATGCCTTTTAATTGGAGAATGCTGTTGCATTCATTTCATGGTAATTGATGTTAATCTTCATTGGTGTCATTTTCTTGTACCTCTTCAGTAACAAAAGAGTCAATTTGCCAAGAAAACTTATGAACTATAAATACATACACACCCAACATTGGCACTTCCAATATATAAACAAATATTAAATAAATCTGAAGTGATAGATAAGAGGGAATGTTGATATCACAGTTCTAATAATGTATAGCTTATGTATACAGAAAATCAATAAGAAAATGTGGGATTTGAACAACATTTTACACCATGCAGACATATACAGAACAGTAGCAACAGAACATACATGGTCAAGAAAGTGTGTGAAAATGAAGCGACATGTTCAAATGAACAACAGATCAAAGAAGTCAAAGGGAAATCAGAAAATTTACTGAGACAGAAAAATACAGGAATGTATAGGGTCAGCAAAGGTAGTTCTAAAGAGAAAAGTTAATAGGAATGAGAGACCATATAAAAAAGAACCATCAAGAATAAACTACTATAAAAATTACACATGACGGACTTGAAAAAGAAGACCAAACTAAGCACGGAGTTAGTAAGAAATAATAAAGATCAAGGCAGAAGTAAAGAAAAAAAGAAGAGGAAAAAAAGATCCACCAAGTAGGAACTGGTTTTGTGAAAAGATAACCTTTATCAGCAGCCTTTTAGCTAGACTAGGTTCAGATTAAAACAGAAGCCCGACTCAGAAATTCCCACATCTCTGTCCTCTGTTATATTTTGCATTCAGAGATTGAAATATGCCTACAGAATTTATAGATTCTAAGATTCTTCCTCAATAATTCTAATTGATTATTCCTAAAAAACTATTTTATACAAACCAGGAATACAGAAATTCCCTAAAGGATTACTGAGAACCTTACCGTTGAAGTGTCGTCCTTCTCTCTCTGGAAGATCTGTCTTGTCAGTTATTTATTCATAATATTCTATGGAAAAAAAAATCACTTTTTCAAATACTTTTAACAAAATCAATGAAAGCAATCTTCAAAAACATTAACCATAAGTTGTCCACAAATACCATAAACACTCTAAGGATTTGTATGCTGTGACTTTTAATACTATTGCTGTTTTAATATTTAGGGGTCAAGCAACAATAATAAGGTGGCATTAGCCTGGGTGGGGATTTAACGAAGAGGAAAAGGCTAAATGCATGAAGAAACCATAAGGCTCGTTGTCCTCAGTGACAGAAAATCATGGACACTCAGTGATTCTCTAAGCCAGGAAATCATCTGGATTCATTTGCTAAGAAAACAGTGTGGGCCAGAGAGTGCTCTCTCTCCCACTTCGTTTGTGAGAAGCGCTGTGTTTAAAAAACACTGTATAGGCTCCATGTTTTCCCATTACACAAACCAGAAACCTGTTTATAATCTGTATTGTATAAACAAAAATTGCCAACCAGGGAAGCCACACTTGAGTCCTGCGTAAGGGACTAACTAAGGGACAGCATGAAGAACCAAGAAAAGAGTTGGACATTGGGTGGCCCAGAGTCCTAGGTGAGATGAAGGAAAAGCTCACAAGGATTCCCTAAGACAAAGGTCTCCTTGGTTTCCTCACTTAAACAGGAAAGAAGGGAATGGGGAAGCAATTGAATCTCCAAGTGAATTGAAAAATTTTAACAATCCTCATCCAATATTTCTATTATTATCACAATTACTATTTTGCAAATCCTAGTCTACTATTAAGGCAATAGAAGTATATTTCAAAACGAAGATGAGGAAATCTGTTGTCACATTTCTCAGGTGACCTTTAAGCCCGAGGTCTACAGTGTGAGCATGTCAATCACTGAAAAAGCCTAGGGGTGCCTACAAATGGGACAAGAGCACTTGCCAGGAGCATTCCAGTTGTATCCAGGAATTTGTTGATTTCTTGCATAATAAAAGGTCTGCCGCCTGTTCAAAACGAGATGAATTTAGAGTAAGTTTAAGAATGGTTATAGCTGAAATTATCTTAATTCACTATATACAGCATAGTTATATAATATCTTAACATCTTTGCTTTATTAATTTGAATTCATTTATCTACTCATCAGGAGAATTAGCACATTTTAATAAGAAAAGTACAACTGAATTGAATGGAATGCCATCTAAAATTCCATTAACAAGAAAACATAAATAAAATTAACAATAAATAAAAATTGTTGCTTTGCTCATCTCTGTCCCACATAAAGGCAAAGTATTGGTCTTTTCATTATTATATCTCTAGAGACAGAGACATGTAGTACATAATAAATAATAATAGATGCATTCAAGAAAACATCAAATATATCAAATATCTATATTTTATTAATATTTAAACTTTAAAGTGCTTTAATTTTATATGCTATCAAAATTATATCAAATGAAATAACAAACATTTTAAAAATAAAGACGGATGTTCCTACAAGAATTTCTTTTCAGTGCTGTGTCTTGAACCCCTGGACCTATGCATGCTAGGCAAGTGCATTACTACTGAGCCACATCTTCATTGATGTACTAGAACCCAAGGAGGATGGTTGGATGAACAAGAATACCGCCTTGGTATTCTTGTGCCCACTCAATTAATGAAGGTATAGAATGCCTATAAAAGAAATGTAAAATGAAGATGGGTAACTAAGTTAAACCAGAATGAAGTTCAATTGTTAGAGCATACTCAGTTTTTTAAACTGTCAATAAAAGAAACTTCAGCAATGGGCTTTTGCTAAGGCCTCTACTCTAATGGGTGTCATTTGCTATTTTGTTTATAAGCACTGAACTGTACTTAAAGAAAATACAAAATAGTAGCCCCTTGCCACACATGCTGTGCCCCATTAGCTCTCTTGTCTTACTTGTTCTGTTGTTTGAGAGGAAAGGAATATGGACATCTTACTCTGTCTTGTACTGCTGTGTTAATAAGGAAAGGCATAAACCCCTGATACCAGAAAAATATAATTTTCTAGACAAAATAGAGGTACCAAACAAGCAAACTGTATTTTGACCAACTTTTTTTTTTTTTAAATAAAACATGCAGGTAAGCCTACCTGTGTGAGTCTATTTATATTTGATTCTACCTGTCTTATCTAGGGGTCCTTCTTATAAAAGCATACAATCTGACAAAAGAAACACTGTGGGGGCTGGAGAAATGGCTCAGCGGTTAAGAGCACTGGCTGCTCTTTCAGAGGACCCTGGTTCAATTCCCAGCACCCACATGGCAGCTCACAACTGTCTGATCTGTAACTCAAATTCCAGTGGATCTGATTAAAAATATATATATTGAAATATATATTTCAATGAAGGAATCAGATCCACTGGAATATAAATATATATATATATGTATATATATATATATATTTGACATACATACATATATATATGTATGTCAAATGTACATAAAAATGAATAAATTTTAAAAAAAGAAACACTGTGATAGGCCATAAAAGAGTGGAAAAAAGACAAACTGGTAAGCAACTATGAACTACAAATAGTTTTCAAACTCTACAAAGCCTGTTTAGAAAGAGAAACTCTATTCTCCAGGAAAGGAAACAAAAGGAAAAAGAAAAACTCTAAAGAGAGGAAGACAGGAAATCACAATATTCTTTTACTTTAGTTATGAAATGTTTTGTGAATTAGAGTAGGATGTTGGTAGACAAGGATGATGGAGACCTATGGAATGTGTGGAAGAATGGGGTCAGAGGGGAAGCAGCAGGGTAAGTGAAAGGGAGGAAGATGGTGATAGGGGAGTAAGAACAAAATATAATAACATATACTTATAAAATATCTTAATTAAATTATCACTGTGTACGCCAACTTAATTAAAAATTCAGAATAGGATGTCAAGAGAGTTTCAGGAAAATGACTGCAGGAAAAATATTTTATCAAATATAAAGATCAATTATTAAAATGATTAGAACAAAGATACTTTTTTTGGTTTCTTGAGACAGAGTCTCTCTATGCAGTCCTGGCTATCCTGGAACTTGTTCTGTAGATCAGGCTAACCTTAAACACACAGAGATCCACCTGCACCTCCCAAGTGCTGGGATCAAAGGTAAATGCTACTATGCCTGGCTACATGTTCTAATAACAAGAAATAATGAAATTATTTTAAAAATCCAAGGGGAAAAATTAAAACTCCTGGAAATGTGAGGGAAGACCAAGAAAGATACAGTGTATATATGAAGCAAGTTAATAATGGTGTGATTTCAAGAAATGGGTGTAAAGAAAGAGAATTCCATAGACTTGGACACTGATAATTCTCCTTCAAGAAATGTGGACGAGTAGCATAGAATTATATTTTCTACTTTCACTTTGAGTTTTTATATAATATTCATAACTCATATATTTTATTCTTTTAAATAGTTAAACATTTCAGATTTAAATTACGAGCATTCTGAGATGTAATTATAGACATAAAATAGAAATTAACTACTACATAAAGTCAAATGAATGAGAAAGCTTACAGAAGGAAGGATCTAAAGGGAAGAGAGGAGAAATGAGAAGTATAGGGAATAAAAAACAAATTTAAGATTAGGTCTCACTATGTGTACGAGACTGGACTGAAATTCAGATTTGTCCCTGCCTCTGTTGCTGAGTGCTAAGATTAAAGGAGAGCAGACTGCTCCTGGCGATCAAATTTCTTATATTAAATAATAAGAGAAAGACTCGGATTTAAAAACAGGATCAAAAGGACTAAGCACATTCCAAAAAATATGGAATATATAAATATTAGTAACCTGAAGGTTACTAATGAAACATATGAAAAGTAATTAAAAATCTCAAAAGAACACACACAAAGATTATAAGGATAGCACAAGACAGAATTTTCAGGCTTCCTGATAGGGGCTAAGGGTAATACATGAAGTCAGTGTGGCCTGAGGTGTTTGGTCATGTAGTTAACCTATTTGGAGATACTCAGCAGAGCCACAAACAGCCACACTGAAGAATGGCTTGGCTTCAGCAAAAGACATGCTATTGATGAAGGTGGGGTAGAAAAATCGGTTATTCTTTCTTTTCATCTCATAATGTTGTATGTACCTTTCAATGTTTCCTTACCACGTGGACACAGTATTTTCTTTTTTTTTCCAAAATGATTTTGTATTGATTACTTAGGATTTTCACTTCATGCACCCCAATCCCATTTCCCAGTCCTCCCAGGTCCACTTCCCAACCCTTGTGACCCTTCCCCCACCCGCTAAAAAAAAAAAATGAAACAAAACAAAACAACAACAACAAAAAAACACAAGTCAAATTTGTGTTGCCCATGTACTCACTGGAGCATGGTCAAACTCCCAGTGGCCATTCCCTTAGGAAACTGAGTCCTTCCCCGCCTGCACCCTACCAGAAGCCATCGGTTGTGGAGAGCGACACTCAGCGTTCTTACTGCATCTTTTTCAATTTAGTGAGCTTTCATGGGGTTACTTACAGGAGTATTGAAGCAGAAAGGACTCAGTGACAGCTGCTTCCCCAAATGCCCACCCCAGCATGGGTGATAAGTCACAAAAGCTACATTCCTGGAGCACACTGCTCAGCCTGCAGGCAGCTCAACAAGCCTGGCCAGTGCCCAGGCAGCTCTGCTGATTTAGGCAGTTCGGTTTGCCTCTGCTTCTTTTCAGCTGCTTGGTTGGCTGTGCGTCCTCCAGGCTGCATGCTCTCTGTCTCTCTCTGTCTCTGTCTCTGTCTCTCTGACTTTCTTCTAAGCAGCTCAGTGCATCTTCTTTGCAGTTTGTCTTCTCTGAGAAAGACTTAACAGTCTTTGCTACTTGGATTCTCTTGGGGATGGAGGCACTGAGTGGATCTGCCCAGTCTCTGGGACATCCTGAATCTGTTTAGACTTCCAGGATTATTTAATCAGTTTACTTCTTTTCTTAAGAAGCTTCCTTACAGGATGTAATGTTTCATCTTCCCTTAGGGCGGTGTCTCCCAACACTCCTAATGCTGTGACCCTTGATTACAGTTCCTCATGTTGCCTTACCACCATTTTTAAGAGTTCTCTTGAATGACTTCCTGTCTAGGCTGTTACTCTGGAGTGTGGGGGTGGGGTGGGGTATGGTGGTGGTAGGGTTGTCCCAGAAGCCTTTTATGTCCCTCTTAGACACTTCCTGTTAGTTATCTTAGTATTGTTTTTCAATGCTATCATCCCAAAGTGAATGCTGAAGAAGAATAAAATGACATACTCCTGCATGTAAAAGTAATAGGCGAGGCAATACCACAAGAATCCTACTGCTAATATTGCAACCAGGATCAGCATGACGACTCCAAACATATCCACTGAAATTAATGAAAAGACACATATTTTAATAGTAGATTAAAATTTTTCTTCTGTTTTTAATTTTTCTAGTATCATGCAATCTGGATTCTTGGATATACATTCACAAATCACTGTTGGAAATGAGACTATGTACCCCATGCTCCAATCAGACTACCACTAATTCAACAATCCCTGCTGTGAAATTCATTTGGATTGTAGAAGCGGTAAACAAAATATTGCATCATCCCCCCCCCCTTTTTTTTTGCCTTCTATTTCATTTCTGGTACTTTCTCAGCAGGTGAGGCTGATGTCTCAGGCTGCAGTTTCCATAAAGGTGCATGTGGACAAAGTGGGGTGATTTGTTGTCTGAGTGACAGCCTTTCATTATCAGAGACAGCCCACACTTACTGGGAAAGCAAATCTCTAAGTCTGGTGAACCTTCTCTTCCTTCAGACTATATAACTCATTAGCCTAGTGTATGGGCAAGTGAACTAGAAGGGAATACTTGAAATAAAAGATCAGAGTTTTTGTTCATACTGAAAGCAAAGTGCTTCAGGTGCAAATACAGATGATGTAAACAGACCTATAGAAGCAAACAGAGATTTAGGGCAAAATTATATATGTTCACTCCAATTTAGACAAGTGGGACTTATTCTCATAAAAGTAAGCTTTACTTGGAAAATCACCTGTTTTGGCTTTTTGGGAAATTTCATTGAAAAATATTAGCACAATTTTTTGCTTTGTTACCTATTTTATAACATGCCCAAATTTGACATTATAAATATAACAATTCTTTTTGTTGAATGATATTTGAGGAGTCACCATGCTTAATGGTAACTCTCGATATAGACTACATTAGCTGAGGAAATATGTTACAGTAACACCACTGGGCTCAGTACATCTGCATTTCAGTACTAGCATGTACACACACACACACACACACACACACACACACACACACACAGACATGCACTCAGAGTTCCCACAACATCAGAACACAGACATCCCTTAACTAGGTTATGACTATTATATAACAGATATTTTTACAAATGAACCTAAACTATCAAGCATCAACTTAAATCAACACCTGGAACAATTTATGAGCTTAGATAAGAGGACAACACTGAAGAACAGCCCTGGCCTAGAGAATTTTACTAAAGCAAATCTAGTCATTTAAAATCTTTTAAATGTAGCAAATTTCTACTATGTGAAAGCCAATTGAAATGAAGTCACAAAAAATTTAAATGAGGAGAACTCACCTCTACAGTTTGCCCAAAATATAGAATTGAATTTACAGTCAGAATATGGAAAACAGTACTTTTTGCAAACACTTTCTTCTCGGCACCAAATACACTGTATGTGGAAGATAAAAATAAAAGCAGTGTAACAGCAAGGCTTTAGAACTGGTGCAATATGTAGCCAATAAATACCAGCCATTCCCAACACGGTTTTGGTTATAGTAGAAGCCACTGGTGGTCTGTAAAGAGCCTTTCTTTTTACCTGAACAGTGTTCTCAAACCACAGCAGCGGTGAATATTGGCTGCCAAAGGCTCACACATTCTCTTTGGAAAAGTTTACCCTTAGGGGACCACCTTGCCCCCAAAGTTCCTATCCTTATGGGCCAATAACTGATGAATAAGGAGATCCAAACAGTGACCCATTGAGCATCTTTGCTTATAGTAAAAGGATGGCTCTGTCATGTGATCCCCCACCCACCACAGGGTGAACCATCAGTCAGGGAAAATGTAGATGCTGACACCTCATTCTTTCCTGGTTCTTGTCCCTTATCTTCTTGGAATCCATTTTCTCCATGGGGTTTTTGCTACAGCTGAGTCTCACAGATGTCCCACACACTGCAATCCTTTCTCAGATGCTGCATTTGGAGGATTCAACCCAAAATGTATGTCAGGAAGTAGTGTTGAGAACTGCATGAGGCAGTATAAAGTTCCTTTTCTGTAGCATCTACTATCTCTTGTGGGGGAGTCTTTCTCCGTGACATATTGTATTGTTGGTGCTGTCAATCAGTCTATGGCCGTTCCCTACACCTTCTGCTCACTGATGGTCAGACAATCACATTGAAAAATGAAGGCTGAACTCAAAACCCTTGTCCACGTGAGGTACAGAATAGTACAATCAGGAAAATTGCTATTTGAGGAAAAGACCAGAACCTGGAAGAAGACAAAAATGTGAAGGGTGGAGCTACAGAGATTGTTCAGCCATCAAGAGTTCTTGCAACTTTTTCCAGAGATCTGGACTCCATTCCCAGTATCAAATCAGATGGCTTACAACCACCTGTAACTGCAGCAGGAGGCGTGGCTAACTCCCTCTTCTGGCTTCTGAGGGCTCTAGGAGAGCATGTGTATACGTACTTACATACAAGCTAGTACTCAAACACATAAAATAAAATAAAGCTTTTTAAAAAGTGCTTAGCATGTGACAGGCAGTGTTCTAAGTCTTTTATATGCATTAATTCATTTCATTGTCATGACAATCCTGTAAACCAGCCACTTTAGACGTGATAACAATAAGGCACAGAACTAACTAATCACAAGATGATCACACAGCTGGTAAAGATGGTAGCCAGCTGTGAACTTGTAAGCCATCATGGGGGACTGATTCTAGATACATTCACATCACTTCTTGCTGCAGAATCCCAAAGCTAGCAGAGATAATGATTCACTCAGAGTAAAGAGTCACCTTAGGCACCACCTGAGAACATGAGGTGTTTCCCGGACCAGCTTTTGTTCCATGTTTGCCAAGATCAAAGTTCAAGTCGAGCTGGTAAAGCAAATCTAAGACTGACGCCACTTAGGTCAGTGGATCTTAGGCTACGGCTTAAAGACTGGAACTGCAAAGGCAAGGTCTAGACTCAAAGATAAGAACCAACAGCTAGCTTTAGCTATTACTCAAAACTCCTAAGAGTCAAGCTCGTGGCATATAACAGAGGTTAAGAGAGAGAAATTGACAGAATAAATGTGACCCTAACAGAGATGAACTTGTTAGTCAAGTGCTAAGCTGAGTGACAGTATCCAGTAGCCATCGGGGTCCATAGGTGAACTCCCAAGGTAGCTCACTTCTCAAATGAGACATTCCCTTCTAGGATTCTCTCTCTCTCTCTCTCTCTCTCTCTCTCTCTCTCTCTCTCTCTGAAAAATGGAGATCTTTCAGAAGCCTAGCCTGGGTATCCAGATAATTTGCCGCTAAAAAACTCACTTTTTGGCATGTGATACTCAAGATGAGAATATAGCATAGATTTGGTTTGCACCACCACTAACCATTATCTTCTTTTCTGAATAGGAGCCTTGTCTTCACTATTGTTATCTTCATTTGTGTGTTAGTGTTGGTTAGTGGGTTCTGGGAAGTTGGTTTTATTGATTCTGTAGTGACTTGATGGAGCATGATACATGAGGAGCCATATCCAACGAGGATTTGTTTGAGACCCTAGAGCTGGGAGCAAAGCTCAGTGACTGTGAGCAAATGTAATTTTTAGCATTATTTTGCATTGGGGCACTTTTGATGGCAAGAATGAATAATAACCGATATGAAGATATGTTCCTCTGTTGTAAACTGTTCTTTGTTGCTTTAGAATAAATAATAGAAATAATTTAGTACAAATATGTACTTCCATCTGGAAAATTACACATCAAAAAAGACAAGTTTTTGCTTGAAATAGAAAAATCACACCAAAATGTTTGAAGAATTTTTGTAAGCAAAGGAAAGATAAAGCTTTTAATTTTTTTTTTTTTTTTTTTGCTATTTATAGTCTCTAAAGACTAGAAAGAATGACACACTGATCCTTAACTTCAGCATAACTAAGGTCCCCTCTTCGGAGTTATAGACATTTGAAGAGATCAGCTAGCAGTGAGTCTGTCCTTTGGTTGTTTAGAGAATACCCTTTGGTTGTTTAGAGAATACTCTATAGGAGAGGTCAATAAACAAGGTGCCAGGGACTAGGAGATGAAAGGAAGAAGATAAATGGGAGTGTGACATCCTTTGAGATTCAGCTGAGCATGAAACCATGCCCACCCAATTTTGTGAAGGAGTGAATTCTCACTTTTATTAAATTAGTTAGAGTTTCTACCACTTACCACTAAAAAAAGATATGAGACCTTAACTACTGTAACCATGTCTAAAAAGTCTTCAAAGCACAGAACTTCATATTCATTGCCTAGAGGAACAACGTGTATTGAGCCTCCCTAAATTGGTAATGTATAATTTAAGACAAATTACGTGGATTGGATTTTCCTTATAGCTAAGGAGGGTGAACCATGTAACTATGAGAACTTCACAGTCTCAATCTCTTAAGTATGTGACAATTGAGAATCCAGCTAAAGGATTTAGGGTGACATTTACTACTGCTCCAGAAGAACACTGGAATCTTCATTTTGGAGTAGAACCCTGTCTTCATAACTTTGTGTTATTTTTTATATGGAAATGTCATTGAAATGAAAATATCCAGGAAAGGGAGAGGTACTTAATTGTGACTAATAGGTTGTTAACATTGTACTTAAAAGGGGCTGGTGCTATGCTACCAAACAAATAGAAAATGAGTGTTAGGATACAGGGAATGAAAGAAGATTTACAAGGCAGATGCTAGATGCAGCAGACACTACACAAATGAACAAAGCATCGCTTCTCCTTCCTGGAAGAGGCACAATGTTTAGATACAAACAAATTTACAATTTGTTTATCTCTGAGTCCATTTTCCATTTATCTCTGAATGGATGAATATCATCATTTCAAAATGATCAATATTTAAAATGTGGTCATTAACATGAGAAAGTACTCACTTCTGTTCAGAATGTCTGGATATTTCAGTCACCATGGGACAAGTAGTATAGGTCTCAAAAAACAAGTGCATAGAGAGGAGGAAAGAAACACAGGAGACACAGCAGAACACTAAGACAAACACCATGGTAGGAAAATGAAAATAGGTCCTGATGTGTTTTTGTAACACCATTCAGAAAGAGAAATGTCTCTTGGATTGTGATGGGTTGTGACTCAGACTAAGGAGTTAATATATTGTATTTTATTTGACAATAGAGACTGAACTGGATTATTTGGAATTCAAAGGTGACTTGATTTTAAAAACCTAATTATAATGAATAAGGCATGAGAAGAGACTGAAGAGATGGGGTGTGGGGATGGTGGGGATAGTGTAGCAGTATAAGAAGTTTAAGATTACTTCATCTGAAAGAAAATGAGTGGACAGATGTTTCATGGAAGGCAGAGGAGCCAAAGAGTTTTAAAATTAGAATTTTTGAGAAATGATGCCAGGAATAAATAAGGAAGTAAAAATAAAAAAAACTTCTTTAAGGAAGGCAAAATGATAAATTGAGTTAGTTAGTTAGTGATATTGTAGGTTTGAGATGATTAAAACAAATACCAAGAAGGAAATGTCAATCAAGTAACAACTGTTAGTGATCTGGTAGATGTAAGCTATGATTGCAGGTAAGAGAGCACAGGATGAACAGGCAGAATTAAAGTGTTCTTGCAGTAGATGATAATAAACATAGAGACCCACAACTGGACAGTGTGCAGAAAGTGGGAAACTTCAAGTGCTCAGTTCTGAATGGGATGTATTTATCATATCTCTCCCCTTAAGGCTTAGGGGTCTATGAAAAAGAAGAAGCAGAAAGATTGTAAGGTCTGGAGATGACTCCAAGGAAAGTGCTTTCCAGATGCAATAAGCCTGATATACATACGAACTCAGAGACTGACAGTATGAACATGGCCTACCACAGGTTCAAACCAGACAAAATTCCAGCACAAAGAAGTAAGCACAAAGTCCCACCCCTAACCAAGAAACCATTTGCAATTGACATATGCTGAGATAGAGAGAAAAATCAGGTTTCTTCAGTGGAGTATATTCTTCAATGATTATATCAACCATATTCAAAGAACAGGCCTCATGGGCTCAGGACTAGTTAGCCAACAGAAAATGTTCTCCATATTTTATTATTGTTCTTTTAGGCTTTTGTTTTTGTTTTTAATGTATGCTCTTTGTTTGTTTTGAGTTTCTGTTGTTGTTGTTTTTTGATCTTTTAAGAGAGAAAGAATATTAAGTTGGGTGGGAAGGGAAAAGGATCTGTAGAGTTGAGGGAGGAAAAATAATATGATCAAAATATGTTATATGAAAAATATTTTAATGAAAACTAATTTAAAAATACTTTATGCCATAAAAAACAAAGACAAATCTATTAATTTTAAAAATGGCTTAATTAGGAATATGAAATGAGGAATTGGTAAGGGAAGTGAGTCAGAGAAGAGGCCCTGAAGAAGGGCAAGTTCACCAAAGAAAGAGCCAGCGTCCTGATGGATGACTGACTGGCTTGAAAGGTCATGGCATTTGATTATGGAGAGGCTTTTGTAACCTTCAAATCAGTTTGCTAAAGATGACATGTCACTGTGTGACAGTAGTAAAAAATGTACATTAGAAACGAAAAGAAGGTTTTAGTTTTTTCTCCATTTTATCTGAACTACAAAGGAGGAAAGCGATGTGGAGAAACAGACCATAGCTCTAAGAGGTCAAAGAAATGACGACAGCTCTGAGTCCTTAAAGGTTTTAAAAATTGCACTGATTTCATTATCATGTATATATGCCCATAAGGAAGCACACCACGGTGTGCATGTGGAGGTCAGAGGACAGCTTACAGGAACCAGATCTCTCCTTCCAAACACCAGTTCATCCTTGGTTGAGTTCAAAGGGAATTCAGATATTATTGGATGCTTTAGGAATTGCTACTTCTAAACCTGGTGTTTTGGGTGGGAGGTGATTAAAACAAACAAACAAAAATAACAACAATAACAAAAACACTGTGAGTGAAAGTCACTGTCCTTCTGGTTTCTGGAGGACAGAGCATCTTTTTCCAGTATAAAATATTCTAATTCCACATTGACTATGCATAGTTAACCTTTCACTAATTCCTATGAGATACTGGGAATAGTTTTTGTATTTTCCTCTAACATCTCCAGATATGCCATTATGGTTTACATGCAGAAATGTTTTAAGAAAAAAATTCCCCACCTTTATACAATAGGGAGTATATTGAATGTAATTTAAGCTCCTTCTAATAGCTCCAGAGTTAATTTAATAGTTATTGAATACTTTCCATTCGGTAACTACTAAATGTGTGCTGAGAAATGTATGAGGGGTATTGACCCAAGGGTGAATAAAACACCTAGTTTGTCAATGGGGAACTGAGAAAAGAGGAAGTATGACATAAAAAAAAAAACCAATGCATATTGTATGACAGAAAATATAAAGATGTATAGGTATAAATCCAAAAGCAGTATGGCAGAACAGCAGGAGGCATTAACCCTTTAAGGAAAAATGATAAAAATATGTAACTCTGGATAAAAATGACAGCCACTCTTTAATTTGATGAGTAAAGCTAGTATCCAAAGCCTGTTTTTAATCTACAAAAATGAAAGATAAAGTTACCTATTGCAATTGAAGGGGTGTGGGATAATATTGGTTACACCTTTCTTGAATCACTATGGCCATTAAGAAATGTTACTAACCAAAAGAACAAATAATAGATAGTATTTGGGATCAGGTAAGCCTTGCAAATTTTAAGTCTATAACTATACTAATGAGGGCTTTGATGTGATGTGCTTGTGGAGTAATCAGATAATAGTGCATAGCACTGGAAGTACAGAAAGATCAGAGGATCAATTACAGATGGGCAATGTAAACAGCATCAAACATGAGGGCAAGTGTGTTAATATAGTTACAAATTTTGCAGCTCCCAGGCATAAATCTGGATACAGGTAAAGAGAACATCATTGTAGAGGAATTTTAATCCAGCAACTTGGCTGCTCCGGCAAGGGATCACATCCAAAGACCTTCTAGGTCTGTGTGATCCAGATGGAATGACAGACCTTTAATCACTCTAGCTGGCATACAGGCACACCCTTAGTACACACCTTTAATTCCAAACAATGAAGATAAAGTTAGTTTGTACAAGGAATCACTCTTGTTTGAAAGTGACATCTTATTGAGGGGAAGACAAAGTGATGAATCAGAGAACGATTTGACAAAATGAGTCAGAGATAGGATACACCGAACTCTCATGAGAAGAGGCAGGAAAGAGAAGCTACTTAAGAGTAGTGCAGTAGAGTTGAGACAGCAGAGTAGGCCATAGCGGAGAGGGAAGAGAAAACAAGTAGAGGAGAGAGTAGACAATAGAGTTCAGTAGAGAGGACAGTACAGTAGAGTTGAGCTCAGTACAGGCAGTTCAGGTGAGTTCAGTTGAGTTCATGCAGTTTGGTGCTGTTCATTTCATGAGTTCAGATGCAGAGCAATTCAGAAAAAGCCAAGAGAAGCCCACTTAAATCTCAGCTTGGAGAGGAGTTTGAGCTAAAACACCTGGGTTGAACCAGACAGCAAGAGTTCAGAAAGAACTAGAAAAGGACCAGTATTCAGCAGTAAGCCTTTGAGATGATAAGGACACCAGGCAAATAAAAGATACTTTTACAGTTCATTTACTGCTAACATCTTCAAAGTCTTATCAGCCTTCTAATGAGTCTTCATTGAGAAAAATTGCTGCCAACAATCCCTACAGACTCTGAGCAGTCCCTTATGTCTAGTTATAAGCTTGTAAGAACGAGAGAGGGTGGAGAAACTGACAACAATCTATTCTGTAGCAAATATATTGCAATAAAAGAAAAAGGGAGAGGAGAAAGAATATAGAGTGAAAGAGACTTAAGGCATATATTGATCAACTACAGAGTGTGAATCTGATTTAGACAAACACAGATATGAAACAAATAAACTGGATAATTCATTAATTTTTAGATGTGATTGCCAATTGCAGTCTTTATCTATTGAAGACATAAAGGATCAAATATTTACAGATAAAATATGATATCCATATAATTATTGATTTCAAAATAAACTAATTGCAAAGAGAGGACATTCATGAGGCAAAGTTAGCCAAAATGATCCTTCGTGGTATAAAGCTTTATTATACTATCTTGTGTATTATCTTTAAAGGTGGGGTTCTTTTTAGTTACCTAGACTTTCCTTCAACTCCTGAGCTCAAAGGATCCTCCTACCTCATCTTTCTAAATAGAACAAGCAAGGAGCTCATGCCATCGTCCCCAGGTATGTTTCCTCTACTTTCATATGTTTGAAATTTTACATTGAAAACAATAACAACAAAAGGTAAGAGAACACATTCAGGTGAATAGTCCCTGGAATTTACAAGAAGATGGGAACCCATCAGGGCCAAGCACCTGAAGGAACACTGAGGCAACTAAAGGACTGGGTGGAAGGGCAGGTAGATGGTCTTATTTTGTTGAAGCTAAGAATAGGTAAAATGTCAGAAAAAAGGAAGCAATAAACACCATAAGAAGTTCAGGGCTCAGAGCGAGCTGTGTTATCCAGGAGCCAGAAGTTCATTCAAACAGGAAGTGACCTAGAAGAGAAGAGGCAGTCGATACCTGTCCAGACCGCTGTGACAGTTACCATTACCAGATTGTGTCCCTTTGTTACCAGCCATTTGCACTTGTCTTTGATGTGGTCAGTTCTCCAGGAGAAATTATAAAAACCATGGTTTTACAAGCGTTGCTGTAAAGCTGTCTACAAATTGGTACTATTTGCTTCATCACTGTTTGTTTGGATTTATTTTGTTTTGGTTTGTTTTTGTATATTTGTTTGTTGCTTCCTCAAACTTGGAAGTGAAAAACAACAAGAGACATTTAATCATCAGAGAAGAGGACCTTAGTTATACTGAAGTTAAGGATCAGTGTGCCATTCTTTCTTGTCTTTAGAGACTATAAATAGCAAAGTTAATAAATAAATAAATAAATAAGTAAGTAAATAAATAAATAATTCCCATATTTCAAAAGTTACATCTTTCCTTTGCTTACAAAAATTCTTCCAACTTTTTGGTATGATTTTTTTTTTAAGCAAAAACTTGTCCTTTTTGATGTGTAATTTTCCAGATAAAGTACGTTTGTACTAAATTATTTCCATACTTTATTCTAAACCAACAAAGAACAATTTACTGCAGAGGAACATATCATCTTAGCTGTTATTTTTCATTCTTGCTATAAAAAGTGTAAAAACAAAACTTAGTACATCTTTCAGATGACAACTGTAAATGCGTGAGTTTATAACATTTCCAGGACAATTTCTTCATAAGAAAATTAACTTACTCTCTTATCTTTGGTACACAATGGACAAGTTTGCTTTTGAGCACATTCTACAAGAAAAAAAAAGCATACAAATTAAAACCAAATGAAATTCATTTTTCAGTTTTATATGAAAGTACATTTAATTTAGTCATTCTTGTTTCAAGCTATATTCATCCATATTCAAACATTTTGCTTTTTTTATTTTCATACACCTAGATATTTTCCCCATGTGGTAGTTTAAGTAAGAACAGCTCCCATACACTCATGTATTTAAATGCTTTGTCCATAGCTGGTAGACTGTTTTGGGAAGAATTAGAAGGGGTGGCCTTGCTGGAGTATGTGTGGCCTTATTGAAGGAAGTGTGTCATTGGGAGTGGGCTTTGAGGTTTAAAAGCCCACACCAGGACCAGTCTCTCTCTGCCTCCTGCTTCTGGGTCAAATGTAAGCTTTTAGGTACTGCTCCAGTGCCATGCCTGCTTACCTTATGCCATGGCTCCCATCATGATGGTCATAGACTTAGCCTCTGAAATTGTAAGCTTGTCCCTCAACTAAACGCTTTTTTTATAAGTTGTCTTGGTCATGTTGTCTCTTCAAAGCAATAGAAAAGCAAGACACAAAACCAATACAATTTAATCCCTATCTCATTTCCTCTAATGTTTGGAAAAAAACAAAACAAAAACAAAAACAGGAGATGGCATCATCCAACATTGATTAGCCAACTTCTAAAAAACAACTTCCTAAAGACAATCAAAATAAGCACATTGTCAGTGTTACTATGCATTTAATACGTTAAAAGTAATTTAATAGTTCCCTTGTTGTCAGAACAGTTTTGCAAACACATTCCTGGCTAATTAATTAATCCTTTAACTACTTAAAAAAAAAAAACCCAGCAATTTTCCATTCTGTTTTGCCACAAAAGTTAAAAAAAAATTGTCTCAGATGAAGACTTTTTTTTAATTTTTGTTGAAAAAAATAATATCACTTACATTCGAAAGTTGTAGAATAAAAAACTGAGTTCAAATTCAAAACCTCATTTTTATGGCTTATTTTATTACTCTGATGTCTTCTGAAAAAAAAAAGAGCTTATATCTGATACTCTTGTTTTGTGATACAGAAAGAATGACATAAAGAATGACATAAAGAATGACATAAAGTCATTCTGCCTATAATTTTGTGGCAGAATTCACAGGCTCTGTAGGAATATTTAACTTCAGATTGCTTAACTTCAGATTGGCTGCAGATCCCACCTGGCTAGGAAAAAGCTTATAGTCTACTTTTCAAATTAAATTCTATTAACCATTAGTTCCTTTCCTACACTTTGGGAATGATGAAATTCCTGCAGGAACATTAAGACAATGAAAAAGCAAAGTAAATAGAAAAGATTCTACAGCTTCAAGAACGCCCAAGATGCTGCTCCAGCCTTATTTAGAAGAAATAGCCTTGGCCACCATTATCCCAAGTCCAATTGCTTATTAAGCTTGTTTTGCTAACCAGTGTCATACTGTAGAATAATTTCAGATTTCAGGAACACTGTGAAGATAATACAGTAGTTCTTGTGTATTCTGTAGCCATTTTCTCCATTGCTAACACCTCATACTACAGATCACACAAAGAAAGTATGCCCAGCAAATTTGGCTCAGTAAGTAAAGGCACATGCCTTGTAAGCCTTAAGTCCTGAGTTCAAGGCCACACAAATGTGGCATGGGAGAGTTGACTGCACAGAGTTGTTCTCAACTTGCAGTGTACTGACATGGATACACAGAACAAGAATAAATATGTAAACTTCAAAATCTAGGGAACCAACATTTATGTATTGCTTTGAAATAAACTCCAGATTTCCTCAGGATTTAGCTAGTTTTTTTTTTTTTTTTTACACTGATATCTGTGCTCCAAGGTTGTGTGGGATTCCATATTGCCCTTAGTGATCTTGTGTCCTTAATCTACAACAGGCCTTAATGTCTGTCCTTGTTTGTCATGACCTTGGTGTTGTTTTTGATGAGTGATGATTTTATGGGACACCACTAAATTTGTATTTGTAGTTGTGTATGTGAGAAAGACAGAAAGAGAGAGACACAGGGGTGGAGAGGGAGGGAGAAGGAGGGAGGGAGGGAGGGAGGCAGGGAGGGGAAAGAGGAGTTCATAGTCACATACCCATGTGTGAATCTCAGAAGACAGCCTACAGTGTTGGTCTTCATCTTCTACCTTGTTTTGAGGAAAATCTTTTGTTTACCACTGCATGAGCTTACAGAAACTAACTTCCGTCTGTCTTCCATCTTGACACAGATAGGGAATACAGATGTATGTTACCACACCTGGCTTTATTTGGGTTCTGGGGATGTGGTCCTAGCCCTCATGTTTATGGGATTACAGATGTATGCTACCACACATGACATAAAAATACATAATTTATATATTTTTTATATTTATTTCCTCTGTCTCCTTCCATGAAACTACATTTTTCATGACTTCTAGAGTAACAGTCTCTCTTGGATTTGGTGGAATATTGCTGGTCACTCTCTCAGGTCCTGGCCCAGTTTCATCTACCCTAAAATATCCATAATGTTGCTGATGGCAGCAAATATCATCTTCTTCCGTGAGGGATACAATTACAAATGTGTAGAGACACCTGGCTTCAATATTTATGTCTAACTAATGATCAATACACACACACACACACACACACACACACACACACACACACACACATGCCAAATCAAAACTTCCTTTTACTGTCATTGCAATAAATAAATATTCAACAATTAAGGTTACTTAGTGAAGAATTTTTTTTAAAGAACAGCTAAGAGAAAAGATAAACAAGATTCCATTTACTAAATTTCTAGCTACTAAGAATGTGAAACTCTGATATCCTCACTTAAAAGTTAAGGGCACTCCTAGACATACAGTTCACTGCTGCATCTACTCTGAAACATGTGGGCATCTAGTATGTTTATGAGCTACAGCAGCTGTCACAATGTTGATAGGTGAACATTGTCTTCTATCATCTGTTGACACCTTCTCAGAATATATAAACACTTTTCCCACCCAGACTTAAAGTACTCAAAGAGTTACTCTTTATAATAATTTCCCCTACCCTCTCTCCTGAGATCTTGAAGATAAGGCTGCTAAGACTTGTGAACTACTAAGACTTAAAATTTTTCTCCAAGAAAAAAAAAAAAAGGTTATACTTTCAACCTCATGTTTTTCTAATATATTCCAAGATTGAATTCCTTTGTAGAAATCTTTTGTGTTTTCCTCACTAGTATTTTTTTATTAAATAACACCATGAGGGAGTCTGCTCCTAAACTCAGAAGCCAAAATGAAGTCAACTATACTATACTGATGGCTCCACATGCTAACAGCATCCCAAGGAACTTGCCAAATGCTCATAGAAATAGTTTTGTGTTTTTTAGGGCAAAGCAGTTCCAGATAAGGTTCTTTGGGATATAGGAATTCCAGCCAACTCCTACTACAGGTATACAGAGCTATTTTGAGAGGATGCCCTTGAACCAGGCTGCCTCCACATTAGGTTTAAAAGTCATCTTATAGTAAAGATAAACTGAGTTTCTCCATGATTATGATTAAATCTCTCCATCTCAAGGGTTGAGCTATGCTCCCTGTAACCTTAACTACAAATAATTCTGTTCTGCCTGTTCCAGGAAATGGCAGCCATGCCTTTCTTTCAAAAGGTTATTATGACCCCTTGTTGTTATGACTACCTTGTTATGCCCACCCTGCAACCATGTCTTTGTTTAAGGAGGTTGTTATGACTAACTTGTTATGCTTATGTTCTGCTTCTATAACCCTTCCTGTTCCCTGCCAAATCCCCCATTTGGAACCACTCTTCTACCCCTGAGCTATAAAACCCTTGTTTTCTTCATATCCAATGCTGACCTCTTGAACCTTAGGGGGAGGCAGCCCATGTACACAAATGAAAAGGTTTGCTTTATTTGTTTGCTTTAATTAATTTGGCTGTGATAAGTTAGGTCAGTCCCCACACTTTTGGGATTAACAGTTATGGCCCTCATTTGTAGGCATAATGTATAATATATAGAAGTACTTATGTAAGGCAATTCATTATTTTTCAGCTCCCCCAAAAGATTTTTGAGACCACAGCTCTCAGGGGTGATTTGAAGCAGGCAAATTGGACAATGAGATTCAGGAGGTCTTTGCAAAGGTTGCAAAAATTAGTATATGAAAAGAACAAATTGGCAAAAATGAAGGCCAGAACAGCCTCCCTCTAATTCTTCCCCTTCCCCTCATCCCAGAAACCAAGGTCAACTAGATTGGCATAGGTGGAGAGGCACTCTAGAGGTTCTAGGTCCCTACATAGTAAAGCACAGTCCCCTGGATCGGGATTGAAGAAGCTAATGAGACATGAAGCACATGAAGTTGTGCAGAGAATGAAACAGAAGAGCATTTGTAGAAAACTTCATGCTATGCAGATGATGCCCAAAGCATGTGCTAGTTAATGTAAACAACTCAACTCTTTGGGGCTTCAAGTGCATCTTTTAATAAACTGTCCTTGCTTCGGTTGGAAAAAATTCTCTCTACCCTAATATTGTCCTTGATCTGTTGTTTTCTCATATAAATGTGTAATTGTCCTATATTTTTTCTTAACATAGCTGTTACTGTTTCAACTTAAAATATATGTTAGATAAATAAAATTTGTACTGCATATAAATATAAAATACCACCAGCTATTCTACTTGATTTTTAACCTGAAATCTCTCTTATTTAATATTAATATTGCTACACTTGCCTCCCTCGGCAGCATTTGCAAAGAATTTTTTGTTCAAGAAAAATTTTATTCATGCTTAGAAAGAAAAGAACAAAACAAAACAAACCCCAAGGCAGGCAAGGTGTAAGCCTCAGTAGCTGCTCAAAGAACAGCAGTGGAGGAAAGAAGGAAAAGAGCCATGCTGTATGAGCCAGCATGGAGGTCAAGATATATGGCTGGCAAACAGCATCATGTGGGAATAAGGGAGGGATTTAGAGAGAGAGTAAGGGGCCCAAAATGTTGGAGAAGCCCAAAGTGTTAGGGAAAGCATTCGTAGAAAGAAAGAGAAGAGAAAAAGTTAGATAAGTGGTCAGACTTCAACTTTATGTTCCAAGCTGGGTGAGCTCCTGCGGGAGGGGCAGCTACTCTGGAAAAACAAAACACATCATCTCGGGAAGGAGCTAAGCATTACATCTGTCTCTCTAGCTTGGTTTCCTAGGGATAGCCCTTTAGCCTGGTGCTTGACCCCTCAAGTGTAGAGCTAGGTCTTCGCCAGAGCCAGAAATGTCAGTCTCTCTACCAGAATGAGTTTCAACTTGACCCTGCTTTATTATCTTTCCCACTTCTCCAACTTGTCTCCCTCTGAAGAGGTAAGCCTAAAATCATTTGAGAAATAGATCAGATGTGAGAAGCCCCCAGACACTGATGCTATCTCTGCTATCTCTGGCCTCTGGCAATGAAGGGGTGCCAAGAAAGAGAAACTGGGTACTTTTCTTTGGAGTCTTTTTATACTAAGCCAGTTTCTCCCTCTGGTCCTCATCAATCCAATTTATGTAGTGGAAAGAAAAGTAGCTCAATTCTGACTGGATTTCCCCCAAACACCAGGAACCTTTAAAAGTCTTCCCACCAACCACCAAATAGCGAGTTTTGAAATGGACAATTAACCCAGCCAGGATGCCTCAACCAAAAAGCCAGTGTGTGTGTGTCGGGGGCGGAGGGGGGGTGTCACTGCCATAGTACCCTGCCTAGTGTCACAAGTCACTCACCCCTGTCAACGTATCTTGCTTCTAGTTTCCATTTCCCGTGAGAGTGGGTTTTAGAAAACTTATGGTCGGAGAAGCTGGTAATTAGCTGGATGAGAGCCAGGGAGAGGAACACCGGCAGGAGGATCTGGCTCCACCCCCTCAGCCAGCACATGGCTCCTCTCGCCCTGCCCTCTGGGCTCTGGACTAAGATAGGATGATCCTGCTCAGGGACCCGCCCAGCCCTGGGCCCTAGACCCTCCTCTTCTGACCCTTGCATGCCAGCACAATTAGCAGAATCTTAGAATGTTCCGGCTAGAATGAGAACTTTGAGACTTGCGCGTTCTTGTCTCAAGCCTGAACGCCACATGCAGTTGGTCCACTGGATTTGATCAAGGACTCTTCTCCGCACCCAAAGCCTAATGTGTGTTTTTTTGTTTGTTTGTTTTTTATTTCTGCTATGCTATTGGTTTTTGATGAAAGGACTAAGTTCTAATTCCCAGTGTCCATAGTATATAAAATAATTGGCCTTTCCGGAGTGCATGCCACAAATGGAAATGAATCTTCACTTTCAGCCCCTCGCTCGGGATGATACACAGGATGCATCAAAACTCACTGAAAATTCCCAGTCCTGCCCTTGAATTGGCTGGGACAGTTGGTGTACTTTAAGGCAATTGCTCAATGTATGGTGTGTTTTAGGTAATAAAAAACAGATGAACCTCTTATTTTCACAATCATTTATCTAGCAGTTATAATACATAACGGCAAGGATATAAACTTCCCTTTTCGTGTAAATCTATGTTTAAAAAATCAACTTTCAGAAATGTGATAGTTGTATACAACGGACATGGCAAGAATTGGACATGTAGGTCCAAGAACAACAGAAATTGGAACACTACCGGCTCCGTGTGTTTGTAGAGAATGGTAGCTGGATGGGAGAGTGATGGAAATGTGCCCTTAGGCAAAGAGCACTTTGTTTTGTTTTTAAAAATGGATGATGGAGTGGTTTCCTATATGCCTGGCATATTGATCTGTATTGTGACTTGTTAATGAAGTCTCTAATACCATAATACATAAGGAGGAAAGGCATGATCAAGAGTTCAGGTTCCCTTTCCATTGTCTGTTAGGCACACAGCAAACAGAGGACTACATGCTGTAGCATGAAATGTGCTTTTACATACAAGGGAAGCACAAAATCAAAATGGAAAAATGAGCAGGAATACAAGCTGAAAAAAAAATATATATATATATTCAGTAAATGTGATTCTTGCTACCCATTAGCTCTTATGACATAACTCTTGACATAGAAGTGAAGCATGAAATATTAGACCTGAGAAAAAAGGCATAGAGTTCTTCCTGGCTTGGCGGGGGTGGGGGGTGGGGGCGAATGATCTAAGTGTATCCAACCCAAGACACTGTTAGAGCTTTTACAGAAGGCTGGAGCAAGGATGCATGTTTCCATTGGTTTCAGACTTGGAAGGGTTTGGTCTCCGTGGCTGCTAACAGCCATCTTGGTATAGAGTATGGCTGTGAAATGTCCATATCAAAGCACAAGTCCCTGATGACCTCAGCTGTTGTGGCTCAGACTCCTCTACCAAATGCCAATGCTATGCTTCCTACAGATTGTTCAGTCAAGACTAAACATGGTAGAGATGCTAATATGAAATGCCTTCAGTGGGAGATTTCGGCTTACAGACTCTGCATAAATCTATTTGAAACTTCCTTGGAACTGTGAGGTGTTCTGAACCACTGTCAATCAACACTGCTTTTTTCTCCCCCACACAGGTGTTAAAACTATATGCATGTTGGAAGGCTCTCTTTGCCTTCTGTAGCTTTCTTCCTTTTACCTTTCCCAACATTGCCCTAATGAATAGCTTGCCTATAGAATCCTACTTCAGCAGATGATTCTTGAAGGATCTAAACTAACACAAACACCGCTGGAAGAGTCCTGGAAAATGGTGTTGTGTTAACCAACATTGTTTAGCCTCACGCTGAAGTCTGTTTAGCTGGCAACTGTAGTCTTCTAGGGGGTACAACAAAGAGAGCACCACAGGTTGCTTAACTTGAACACAGAATTTGTTATGGTCCTGGAGGTCTAAGATCAAGGTTGGCCTTTCCTGAGGCTTCTCTAAGATATGTGAGCAGCAACTTCTGTGTTCTCATATCTCACGTATGCTTTCCTCTGCACACACAAACCCCTGGCAGCTTCTCTTCCCATAAGGACAGAAGGAATCATAGCGAAGAATCCTACTTCTATGACCTCATTTAACCTTCATTAGCTCTTCAAATTCCCTGTGTGAAAATTGTCATACAGACTTCAAAACATGAATACAGAGATATTGTAGTTTGAGACATATATGTATATGATACATATATAGAGATCATATGCTATACTCTGTTATTATTCAGCTTAATGTTTTCTTCAATGTATTCTTTATCTTTCAAAATTATTCCTGGTCCCCTCCCTGCAAAATCATTCTTCATATATGTACAAATCCTACTTCCTCTTCTCTTCCCTGCTTCTCAAGTAATCTCTGTTCTTGCCTCAGTCGTAAGCAAATGTGCGCCCATTAATAGTTTCCAAGTACTTTCCTAGATTTTTTTTTTCATTCATCAGGTACAGAGTTAATATTTAAAACATCCTCAAAAGATAAAAATAGCCAACAAACTAAAGGAATCCTGTCCATAAATGTCCAAATGTGACTACCAGCGCCACCTGTTGGTAGCAGCAATCATGGCATGATTTTAGTTTAAATAGTTTTGCTCTGATCCCTGGCTGGATGTGCTGAAAGGGTAAAGGTGAGGTAACATCTGTGCTACTCTTTGATGGTCCTTACCCCTCTGTGTCAACGAGCGGCCAAGTCAGAGAGTTCACTAAAATACTTAAGTGAGGAGACGAAATGCAGAGGCCTGGCTGAAGTTACAGGAACAAGGACAGTGGGGAAGAGTGTAGGCAGGGTGCTAGCAGACACCATTAGCAGGGACTACAGGGAGGCGGGGTCAAAGACAACTGCCGTTCTGCTGCACTTTGAGAGCTGTGATCTTAGGGACGCACAGATGGGTAGGGGAAAGTCATATCACAATTTCTCTGTCTGTCTCCTCCCATTATCTTTCCATAGCCAGAGGGCCACAGAAACTCTGGCAACAACACCTGTGAAGGGTAAGGCCTGGCAAAGAGGAATGGAAGATGGATTTGGAGAGTTACCAAGTGATTTACCAGCACAACCAGAGCCATCCCCTCCTACAGACACATAAAAATCACCTTATAGTATTCATATTTGCTTTGTATGCTTGATACCTATATTAACCTAAGCTTAAGTTATCAAATGTCTCCTCTGTGATGGTAATACTCCTGTACCCAATTATAGAGGAACTCATAAGTATTTTTAAATAAATACATAAGAGAATGAATGCATTCTCTATCTCCAGTTTAACATCTTGCTGGAGGGAAAGAGTTAATATAACTCATTCTATGATATGGCTTAATGCTCAGTGAATTTCTATCCCAAGTTGGACATGTCAATATTCCAAGTTTGAACAATGCATATTTCAACAAAGGAAACAAGTTCCTGGTTCCTAGTTGTCAGTTTTTTGATGAGCAAAGTTGAGTACCATTTTCTATGACTCCTTCCTCCACAGTTCGGCTTTTAAACATAAAATATATAGCATATTTTAAAAATACCCTACTATATTTATTTCTAATGCATACAAAGACTTTAAATAAAAGGGAAGGGTCACATTTATCTCTGAAGGCAACACCAAGATCAACTCCAAATGCATTCAAAATGTAGCCTGACAGCTGAACTTTTAAATAAATAGCTTGTTGAAGGCCAGCAGATAAACAGTACCCCATCTGCTACAGGTTATCACTGAGCATTGTTTTAGCCAATAGTACCTACATCTCTTCTCCTAAAGACAGAAAAATTATGCTTATGGTGACTCAGGTCCTTCCCTTCACTCTGACCATTGGAAACATACTCCTTGAACCGTAGAAGGAGCCTGATCAGACATTTAAGACAGACAAGTGTCCTCCTCTGGGTTGTCTAATTACCATGTCCGTGTTGACAGAATGACAGGGTCACATCAATATTTTAGTAGCACTATTAATCTCCAAACCTTGGAGCAGTTAGTTCTCCAAATGTCTCAGTCCTTGTACCTTCCTAATAATGGTGGGGGAAGCATAATGGAACTGTTGGTATTCTGTTGTTACAGAAAAGGGAATGTTTATAATCTGCAACCATTTCTGAGGGCACATACATAGCATGAAAAGACATTTCAATGGAAAACACACACATTCTGGTTAGTGTTGCTAAGTGCACCATTCAGCAAATGTTCCACAATATTGAGTTTCAGGCATCAGCTGAATTATATTATGGTGAGATTTGTGATTAAGGTATGCTAACTCAAAATGACAAGCCAAGGGCATTTAAAGCCCACATTTCAATGAAACCTGGCAGCCCCAAAACAGCTGCCTTAAGTCTGCTCCTCTAGTATTTCAAAGGAAGAATATCAATGGATTTCTGATACCATATGTGCCAACTGCAGAAATTCTAGAACAGAGTGAGAGACCACGGGTGAAAGGTCACGATGCCTTATACAGATGGCATGTTTAATTATTAAAGAGCAATTTTCATCATTTAATCATTTCAAGCCTTGGAATAAAAGGTCTTCTTAGGTATCTCGAAGTTTGTTGCAACCTAAACTCCACTATCCGACTTGTATGAAGCCAGTAAGTAGCATATGTTATTTCATACCCTAACTTGATTTACATTCTCATGTGAGTTGAATTTGTTTTGCGAGGCAGGCTCTAAAAGACATCTCATGGGGGAGGGGAGAATGAAGGTCATGTCTTCAGCAGGGAATTTTTAAATTAAATCTAAGTCTTTGCTTCAGTTTTAAATCTTGCTCTGATTCCTCAGGAGAATGGCATCTTCTTTCATCAAAATTACTTTTACTTTTGCTAGACAATTTCTCCACTGGCTTCAAAAATGTTCTGAAAAAATAAGTCACTTTAAATTTTGTCTGCATAACACACATACAAAAATCACATAATACCATTAGACTGCCTGGTATGTGACTGTCTTTCTTTACCTGCTGCTGTGATAAAATGCCCCAACAAAAGCAACTTCAGCAGAGAAAGTGAATTGTCATTCAACGTTTGCAGTCACAGTCCAT